CACCCATAAAAAAAGAAACCAGCTCCGCGTTCTGATCTTTTTTGTTAGTAATAGATTGATGTCCATGTCAAGGCTTTGCACAATTAGGTGGTGGAAAAAAATTTAAATTAAGATTGCGGTATCATCCATGATAGGTTATCTTATGCCATTCCAGGAACTTTTAGATGTACCCTGAGGAGCTGAATTCTTAAAAGATGTACCACTCACTCTTCAGTCCCAAAATACAACAACAACAACTACCCAGTGGAATCCCACAAGTGGGGTCTGAGGAGGGTAATGTATGCGCGGACCTTACCTCTATCCTGGAGAGGTAAAGAGGCTGTTTCTGAAAGACCTTCGGCTAAAATGATGGTTGAATTCTAAATGTTACAGAGCTTGAACGATCATGTGGATCGCCAAACAAGTTTTCTCTGTAGTACTTTTCTTTGAGAAACACAACTCTTTTTTTGCCTTTTCTTCTTTTGTGGGGGGTTTTAGGGGGGAGGAGGTAGTGGCAAACAATCACATAAAGTGATGAGGTATTGCTCTTCCAACATTCTCTACTTATTTGGCGGGGAATTTGCGCAAGTTATAATCATGTTGCAGCTGTATTGCACAATGCCTGCCGATTTATGTCTTCCTTGTACCCTTTCCTCTACTACATGTTCCATTTCCATTATATTCTATATAAATACCTTACTCTGTTGGATAGGCTGCGCCAGATCAATCCTGGAAGCATGAAGCTTACTTGTTGTTTCCGGTACATTTGGATGGGACTTTACTGGATAATGCCACAGCCATGAAAGCTAATAAAGAATTCTTTTCCACTTCGGACGTTCTTCAAATATTTCGTCAGGTGAATTAAGGATCAGTTTTTTGCAAATTTGCATTTTTATGGATGTTTGTGAAAATATAAGAGGACACAATCAACTTTGGAGCCTAGAATGTATTTTAACTTTTAAGAAACATTATTATGCAGCTTTGTGCAGGACTCAAGCATATGCATAGCTTTGATCCTCCTTATGCACATAATGATGTCAAACCTGGTAATGTCCTTTTAACTCATAGAAAAGGACAGCCACCTCTTGCAGTGTTAATGGATTTTGGAAGTACACGTCCTGCAAGAAGGCAAATCCGCTCTCGTTCAGAGGCCTTGCAGCTGCAGGTACTTTCATTTCCTTTTTTAAATGTATACATATATTCTGCTATTTGTATGCCTGCAAACTTCTAATAGGTTCCTTCTTTTGAGCATGTCTGGGCTGAATGTTTTCACCAATACTGTTACCTTTATATGCAAATTGCAAGTCGTAGTTAATTCATATTGTGTTCTTGGTTGACACCCATTTCTTACATACTAGTTTCTGCACACGTGCGTTGCACGTGTGTTCCATACTAATCAATATAAATATTTTATAATGGTTGTAGAAATAATATTAGAATAGTTTAGCAATTTAGTTTTGGGTAAGAAAATAAAAGTAAATTAAATATGCTGAAATCTTCTAATAACACTAAGTAATGCGTGCGAACAATCCATGAAATCGCTTCTTATAATTATAAAAGAAAAGAAAAAAGTAAAGGGGGATAACTGTATAATAGTTCAAATTAATATTGTGCCATGATCTGTTCTCTCGAATAAGATCACTGCATAAGACAATATGAAGAACACTTTCACATACCTACTCCATATTATTACATAGAATTGGCTAAAGATAAAAGGAGGCTAACTTTGACGCTTACAAGAAATCATGAAAAGAAAATAAAATTACTATTTCTTTTAACTTTTCCAATAGCAAAAACAAGACTACAAAAATTTTGAAATAGTTTCAAGTACCTTTTTGTTATTGTCGTCGGCTTTTTGATGATTTCGATTCTGAGAGTGGTGCTCTAGCTCCCACTGAGCTCTCATCATCGGCACGCTCTGGCTTTAGCATCTGCCGAGCACATCTAAGCGAAAAATAGAAAAAACTGGATTTCAATTGGATACCCTTTTTCTAATTTACAAAAGAGAATCCAGTGTTAGAAGTATTCTAATCCATAAATTCACAGCGTAACAAGATGAAATAGGCGGCC